TATTGCATCAATAAATTCATAGTAATTAAGCTTATAGATTAAAGAGAGAATATTACAGATCGTTGTACATTTTGATATTAAGGTCTTGTATTGATATAAGGTACAAGAGAAACTTTATATTTTCCATAATTTATATTTTAAAAATCATATAAACGGCAATTCAAAACAAAAAAAGATAAGGTTTTTTTGGTATGCTTCAAAAGTTTAGTACAAAGGCAAAAAGAAATTATAGTTTTTTATGATAGATGACAAATTTGTTTGTTGTTGTTGAAATAATCGTTCTTGGGGGCTATATATATTTAATTTAGGTGACCGCATTTTCGTCTGCGGTAGCATTGGTGGTTCATTTTTTCGTGTGTTGGCTGTTTGTGGACGGGCTTAAACTTGGAGTCGTCGGGACTATGGCGACCGTAAGTATATCTTGGTGGGTCAATGTTCTTATTCTATTAGCTTACTCCACTTGTGGCGGCTGTCCACTCACTTGGACCGCCTTCTCCTCCGAAGCCTTCACTGGACTTTGGGAGTTTCTCAAACTCTCTGCTTCTTCTGGCGTCATGCTTTGGTACTAATTACACTTTTTAACTTTAATCTTATATATCACTCAACTTTTATTAAAGAAACTATATATATATATATATATATTTGTTCTTTTGGACAGTTTGGAGAATTGGTATTATCGGATTTTGATTATAATGACTGGAAATCTTGAGAATGCTCGAATCGCCGTTGACTCTTTGTCTATATGGTAGGCCGTTTCTTTGCCTTTGTTTGTTTATGTTGTTAATACGTTTCTTTTATACCATAATCGAAGAAAAGTCAATGAAGCATATTATAATCTTATCGTATCGTTCCGCACATCGACTTTTGGTTTGTTGCGGAAAAGGCTATGATTGTTTTGTTTTTTCTTCCTCTTATTTCTAAATAATTTAATCCCTTATCCTTAATTATTCCTTACGTATGATTAATTTACTTGTGAATCAAAAAATTTGGCAGCATGTCGATAAATGGTTGGGAGATGATGATTCCTCTCGCTTTCTTCGCCGGAACCGGGTAAAGGCATTACCTCTCTATTTGCTAATTTCTAAGCCGGTTTGCGATTTTAATATAAATTGGATCTGGTTCGGTTTGGTCCACTTTAATACAACCATATCATATACTCCATTGTTTGGTTGTTACAACGGACCCATGGAATTGAAAGTTATACGGAATTCTTTAACAAACAAAAAAAAATAGAGAGAAAAAGGTTATACGAAATTAATTAATACAGGACGTAGAGGTCATGTTGGGTTCGCGAAAAACGTGTTTTTGTCTTCTATTTATGATCAGTTATGAATTGTAAATGCGTCTCTGAAAGCTTTCAGGTGGACATTTAATGTACGCTGACAGAAATGACTGTTAATTGGATTATCTGTGAACATGAATTTCGCAAGAAATCTTTACATGTCTTCTAATACAAGGAATAGGATACGTTTTGTGAGGAACAAGTTTTTTGGAAAATTTAGTATATTAAAACGTAAAATCTGCCATTTTGAATAGATTCTTATAACTTCTTCTATCTTGTTCCGTGTTTGTTCTTGTTTTTTATTTTTAATTTGTCGTGTTGTTAGAATAAGACTTTACGAGGACACATATTAGGGTATAGAGATGATTACTCTTTTCCTATTATAACCCGATCTGTTGCTTTTTTGTTCACATAAATTTATTTCCGTCTTTTTCCTTTCTGTGTGGTCATCCGTGTATGTACATAGATACAAGAAAACTACTAACATAAAGACTAGGCTGAGAATTTTATGCGCAGGAAATGAACAAGTGTCTAAAATCTAGGTACACTTAATTCAAAAGGACTATAGATGGACAAAAAACCATAGGATATTAATTTTGTATGGAACCTATTTACATTACACCGCTAAACCTTTTGTGTGTGTATGTGTTAAATGTTAAAGATTAAAATCTGATTAAATGAAAAACATTGAAAAAACACTATAGATGCTATAGAATGCTTTTACAGCAAGACTGATTACACATCTTAACAGATGACTTATAATAATTATATATGAACATTTTAGAACTATATATAAAAAATATATATACGTTAAACTGTTTCAAAACAAGCCTAACCATTTCTCTTGTGAAAAACAGAAGTACAACATGTAAATCCCTAAGAATGTTATTTTGACCACACATATGTATGGAAAATTAAAAACGATCGATCATAAATTTTTGTTGGTGGGGTCCATCTACAATTCCCAAAACTTATGGAAAAAAACGTTTTGATAATTTATATACTTCACAATTTACTAGTACTTAGTTTAGATTTATTTAAAAAATTATTCTAATTATGTCAGGTATATAACACATATTAACAACTATAATGCAGTGTACGTGTGGCGAACGAATTAGGAGCAGGTAATGGGAAAGGAGCAAGATTTGCGACGATTGTATCAGTGACACAATCGTTGATAATCGGATTATTCTTTTGGGTGATAATAATGCTTTTTCATAACCAAATCGCTTGGATCTTCTCTTCAAGTGAAGAGGTTTTAATGGCCGTTAATAAACTCTCCATTCTGTTAGCTCTCACCATTCTTCTTAACAGCGTTCAACCAGTTCTTTCCGGTATGTCACATTTCTATTATTTGATTTTTGTCATTTAATATACATAGACCATAGTCAACTTTCTGTATTTTGAGTTTTGACATTTCACTTTTCAATAGGTGTTGCGGTTGGATCGGGCTGGCAATCATACGTGGCGTATATAAACTTGGGGTGTTATTATTGCATCGGAGTTCCATTGGGGTTTCTGATGGGCTGGGTTTTTAAATTCGGCGTCATGGTAACCATAATCTTGCTTTTTCAAATCCTTTATATAGAATTTAAGTTATTAAATCGTATTAACAAAAAAAACTAATAGTATGATGTTGTGGTTTTATATTTTATTAGGGTATTTGGGCTGGTATGATTTTTGGAGGAACCGCAGTTCAGACAATGATCTTAGGTTTTATTACGATGAGGTGTGATTGGGAAAAAGAGGTAAATTTTGTTTTTGTCTTTGATTCGCAATGCATATATGATATATTTACTGATGACGTTTCTACAAATTTAAATTCGCAGGCGCAAAAGGCAACTGCGCGTGTTAACAAATGGTCAAACACAATAAAATGAAGATTTATTGAATAATTTTGCAGCTTAATTATGTGTTTTATAAACGGTATATCTTGTTATCGAAATGTGATACAGTAATACCCATAACCGGTTCAAATATCACAGAGACTCTCTGTAGTTATTACAAAAATACTTCTTTGAAAATATTTTCTTTAACAGAAACATTGTAATATAATGGTAGAAACTCACGAACTGGTTTATATTTTGGTTTTAAAGAAAACCGACAGGTTGACAAAAAAAAAAAAAAGAAAACCGACAAACATTGGTTTACCTATTGAAGTATATAAACCCGAAGTTATCGAAAATAATGACTTAATCAAGTTACATGACTGTCTTCTTTGATGGTTATGTTAACAGTTGCTAAATCTCTAGAAATTGTTCAACTGGTTTCAAAACTATTAATAGTGTACGATTTTTACGATGGTTTTAGAAACTACGACTTAATTGCGAGAAGAACTAAAGATAGAGATGTGATTAATTAAAAACAAAATTTAATAATATACATTCATGTGTGTTCATGGTGCGGATGCGTTAACTAGTTGTTATAAAAGTTAGCCAAATTAATATGTATGTTTTGAACATTTAAATATATAAACCAGGACTGTACCTAACCAGTTCTCATATCTGTTTAATAGAATAGATTCAGTTATTCCAAACAAATCAATAATTTAACAGATAAGTATGAAACTGGAAATTTAAGGCGAATATGGGTTTGATCATAAAACCCATTTCCAATTGGACAGCTCTTAATGAAACTGATAAACCAAACCAATCGCGGGGACAAAATGTTTTACATCCACACATCTAATTAAGTTGATTACCCACGACTTATTTTCTTCGTTCATGTACACATTTTTTTGGTCCAATTGTGTATAACTGACCCTACTTACAAAAAGGAAGAAACCAATTTTTTTTTTTAAATGCGTCTTAATTACAATCCAACGTCCATCTAATATAATGTATTTATGCGTGCTGTTTGCATTTATATCTACGTCAGTCCATCCAGTATTTTTATCCCCGATTTATATATGTATATTATGTACAAATAATACTTAATAGTAGACTAAGACATGTAATATACTAGTTTTTTTCAGTGTTAATCAACTAATTATATCCACTAGATAGAGAATCTCACCACACCGAAACCTACTACGGAATTGTTTTTTTTTTTCTTTTCCAAATCATATGAAAAGGTAATTCTAAATTCTATCAAACGTAGAATCTTGCCACAAAATGCGGTGTTTCAACTTTCAAGATCGCGATTGTTCAATATTTTAAAACCCGTGGCAGTCGTGGCAAATAAAATATCAGATATAAGTTTAATACCAAATTGTAAGATGTACTACGTAGCGTTAACACTTAAATAAAATTAGATAATTTTGTCGTCAGATATAGAAACTTATCATCCTCCCAGAATTTTTTTTATTTTTTTCATTTGTACATACATGTTCGAATTTATCATATTAGGAAAAGTCTATAATCTCAGAACTAAATTGAAATACTAGACACAGCGTTTATATCTAGAGATCTATTTACCTTTTGGTATCATACTTATGACTTTTGCAATTGACAACAACTTCGAACTTGTTTGTTATGCCCAAACACACACACTGAAGCAACACATATATATGGAAAGTAGAAACACATCATAATTGGAAAATTGTTTTAATTCCAAAATTAATGTAAAATACAGGAAAAAGCAAAATTAACACACACTACTTTTCTCTCGCCTCCACCTTTCTCCACACTCCTTTTGATTTGCTAATATTTCATCCGCTAAAGAAAGACCAAAAGATTAACGATGAGAGGAAGAGAAGGAAAAGAAGAGTCGGAGTCGAGGATTCCACTGTTGAAAGGCCCTCACACGGCGGAGGAAGACGGTGGAGAATTGAAGAAGAGAGTTTGGGTTGAGACAAAAAAGCTATGGCGAATCGTTGGTCCTGCTATGTTCAGTAGATTAACAACAAACTCGATACTTGTAATAACTCAAGCTTTCGCTGGACATCTCGGAGATCTCGAACTCGCCGCAATCTCCATCGTCACTAACGTCATCCTCAGCTTCAACTTCGGCCTCTTGGTACATATCTATAATACTACAGAAGTTTTAAATGATGCATGTGGGTTTTCATTTGTTTTCCCCAATAATAGTATATATATATATATGAATATAAACGGTGTAGCTTGGAATGGCGAGTGCGTTGGAAACGCTGTGTGGACAAGCGTTTGGAGCGAAGAAGTATTACATGTTGGGAGTTTACATGCAGCGTTCTTGGATTGTTCTCTTTTTTTGTTGTGTCTTGTTGTTGCCGACTTATCTTTTCACAACTCCGGTTCTCAAGTTTCTCGGCCAACCGGACGATATCGCTGAGCTTTCCGGTGTCGTTTCCGTTTGGGCCATCCCTCTCCATTTCGCCTTTTGTTTGGCTTTACCGCTTCAACGTTTCCTCCAGTGCCAGCTCAAAAACCAAGTACGTTATCAAAAACAAATGATTGGAAATTTAATCATCGTTTACAACGCAATTATAGCAATCCTTAGATGAATGTTTAGCTAATAAAAAATATATATATATCTTTGGGTCATTAGGTGACTGCGTTTTCAGCTGCGGTTGCATTGGTGGTTCACATATTAACGTGTTGGTTGTTCGTGAGTGGGCTTAAACTCGGAGTGATGGGGACTATGGCCACGGTTGGTATATCTTGGTGGGTCAGTGTTCTTATTCTATTAGCTTACTCCACTTGCGGTGGCTGTCCACTTACTTGGACTGGCTTCTCCTCCGAAGCCTTCACTGGACTTTGGGAGTTTCTCAAACTCTCTGCTTCTTCTGGCGTCATGCTTTGGTACCATTTTTTTTTTTTGGTTTTAAATTACACTTTTGTGATACTATTTATGGTCTAATGAGTATCACACAACTTTTTAACCGTATAAATGGTCTTTTGGACAGTTTGGAGAATTGGTACTATCAAATTTTGGTAATAATGACTGGAAATCTTCAGAATCCTCGAATTGCCGTTGACTCTCTGTCTATATGGTAAGGCGTTTCTTCATCTTTTTTAATGTGTTTTTTTTTTGGGTATTATAATTGAAGAAAAGGTCATCAATCATTGTAGAAATTTACCGCATTGTTTTGCACGTTCGTTGTGTTAGTAACTAAGAGACAGAGATCACAGTTTAATTACCTCTTCTTACTTTACCAATCAAAACCTTCATCTTCTATAATCTCTGAATGGCCCATTATTTCTTTGTAATAGATCCCCCAATTAATTATTTTTATGAAACAAAACTTTCGACAGCATGACGATAAATGGCTGGGAGATGATGATTCCTCTTGCTTTCTTCGCCGGGACCGGGTAAAAGCCATTCTTCTCTATTGCTAATTTCTAAGCCGATTAATTATTATGATCTGGCTAGAGCATGCTCGATTTAGTCAACTTTAATACAACAAAATACGTAAGTTACACAATCTCTGTTTTAAATAGAATAATATAACAAAACGTGCATAAATTTTCATAAATAAAGAGTGTAGTAAAGTATTGTTTGGTTGGCCCTTATAATGAATGCGGACTTAATAGAGGTCATGTCGGGTTGGGTTCTTGTTTTCCAAATAATTATTACTAGTATTTATCATCGATCAGTTATGAATTGTAGATATGTGCATGAAAAGATTGGGACATTTGGCCAACGAAGGTTCCAGTAGTTGAATTAAGTTCAAGAGCCACGCATTTCAGTGGACAATTAACAATTAAACATTACATAACTAACTTCTCATATTAGGATACTTTTTTAACGTCTTCTATTTATCTTCTTCCGTGTTTTTTTTTACCTTTGTTTTCTTCTTGTCGTTGTCTGAATAAGACTTCCACAAGGCACAGACTAATCTATAACTTTAACAACCGTAAAACTTGGTTGATCCAATAAATCCGAACAAATCGATTGAATAAGAACATGTTGTTTAGAAACCATTAAATAATTGAGAAGCCTTCACCAGCGCACTTAATTAACTTAAATTATATAGTTTGATAAAGTATATTAATCTTGATTTTTATCAACTTAACTTATATTAATATTTACAGTGTACGTGTGGCGAACGAATTAGGAGCAGGTAATGGAAAAGGAGCAAGATTTGCGACGATTGTATCAGTGACTCAGTCGTTAATAATCGGATTATTCTTTTGGGTGATAATAATGCTTTTTCATAACCAAATCGTTTGGATCTTCTCTTCAAGTGACGCGGTCTTAACGGCCGTTAATAGACTTACCATTCTGTTAGCTTTTACCGTTCTTCTTAACAGCGTTCAACCGGTTCTTTCCGGTACGTCGCATTTTCTTTTGCTTTTTCAATTACCGAGTCAAATGTTTTTGTGTTGACTTTTAACTCTTTAGGTGTCGCGGTTGGGTCGGGTTGGCAATCCTACGTGGCATATATAAACTTGGGATGTTACTATTGCCTCGGAGTTCCATTTGGGTTTTTAATGGGCTGGGTTTTTAAATTCGGCGTTTTGGTAATTACATATTGTATTTCCTCTACTTTATTTATTTTTGTATTTATTTTTTTAAACCATCTATATAGACTGAGATTATTAATTAGGATAATGTTTTGAGCTGTAGGGAATTTGGGCTGGTATGATGTTTGGAGGAACCGCAGTTCAGACAATGATTTTAATTTTTATCACGACGAGGTGTGACTGGGAAAATGAGGTAAATTCTGAATTTTGTATACGTTTCTTTGTCTATATTTTATTCATTTTGAAAACCCGAATTCACTGATGATGTGTTTTTTTTTTTTTTTGGGGATATATTTTGTAGGCGCAGATAGCAGTTGCGCGTGTTAACAAATGGTCCAAATCAATAGACTGAAGATTTATTGAACTGAAATAATAAAGAATTTTGCAAACATCTCAGCAAAATTTTCTGAAGTGTGAATCACCTTTGTAAATATTTTTCCCAGCATAAACCAAAAAGTCAGCACATATATTGGATATACATAGTTTTATTACTAAACCGGTTTAGTCGGTTAAGGTGTTTATTGGATATATTTGAGACCACATTAACCTTTGTCTACATTCTAGCCTTATTGGATGTCAAATTCTTAAATGTCGTTTAAATATATACGATTCTTTCTAAACTAAATTCAAAATTACTCTCCATTCACTCTGGATCATTTTCAATTTTTAAAACACCTTAAAATTTGTAGAATTTTGAGAGTATTTGATGACACGTTTTTAGTCATGTACATTAATCTATAAGCCTATAAAAATTAGGCTTATAGGCTACATACAAAAACAATAAAGATGAAGAAAAATGAGATCCTCAATAGGATGCACTTAACTGATTTAGCGATTTTATCATATACTTCATAGCATATACATATATATTTATAAAAAGGCATATATATACATATATACATCTAATATTCGTAATTCAACTGTAATAAAATACATGGAAGTCGACCCATGTATAATAACAACAACAGTTTTACGGTTACGGACTAAGCTATAATAATCTAAGAGTCTATTAACCAAATCCAACCGGTTTTTCATCCAGCGTTTAATTGGTCTTCTAACGTTTTCCATCTTTTAATTTTAATACCAAACTCCAAAAATCTTCAACCAAATATTTGCCTCGCCAAGAAAACTCGCTCATACCTTCCTTACACTTCTCAAGCCTTACCAAGACCGGAACCAGTTCGTCCGGTTTAGCTATTCTTTCGTTCAATTCTACAAACCTTATCTGGATCAATCTCATGGCCGATAAATAATCTTTTACTATTACTTCTATCATCTCAATAACAATCTTGTTCGGTTTCGACGTTGGAGTTTCTGGCCTGCCACTTATGAGTTCGAATAGATCCACCAACAAATCAATTTGTTTGAAAATGCAGTCGGTTGTGTAAGATGAGACTCGTTGAGTTTCGTAACGCTTATCTTCTGAATTTTCTTGTATACTTGGAATAATGCTTAAAACCTCTGCGATGGATAAGTAACAATCTAAGTATTGTTTGTACCTATTCGAAACAACAATTTTTTGATAACCATAAGTCTTCTAGTTGATAAAATTGTGATATAACATAACTAAATACATTAGAAAATAAAGAATAACATATTTTATACGAAATTTCAATAATTTATTATCGATGTTTCAGTCAAAATTTTTAATCTCTCAGTCAAATATATAAACCAATACACATATAAACATATAAAATCTTACCATTGAACCCATGGATACAACTCTGTAGTAAAACTAGACGAATCTACCTTAAGATCGTTCAAAATAAGATTACTCCCTCCTTGATTATAAATCAAAGTACGATGACTAGGATTGCCACGACGACTATTTTCTCCCTTGTATCCATTTTCTGATTTAATCATCTTATGGAGAAGAATGAGACATTTAGCAGCCACGCACACGTCTGTCGTCAAACGCAACCTCTTCACGATTGCGACAACAGTTTCAAGACCATAACACGTGTCAACAGTTGATTGGAGGAATGTGACGTATTTGTCGGAAGGTGGCTCATGTGGGGTATGAGTCGTGGCTTTCAAGAGAGCCAAATCAATGGTTTTAGCATTCTCCGAGCTACACAAATGAACCATATTGAGTTTCATTTGTGAAGCTTCATCTTTCAATATGCCACTCAAAGTTGTGAATTTTCTCATTGAATCAATGCTAGTTGAGTTTATCTTTTCAAATGTTTGTATCTTGACCAACGTGGGTTTGCAATTTATAACATTTCAAGGTTTCAGTATATATTGAAGAGTTTTCTAAAGGTAAGATCAAATATGTTATTATCTTGGCAATCATATTTTTAGTACATCTGTTAGATAGATTTTCAGACAATATCTTATATCATTATCTATATGTACTTTCAGACTGAAAACGTATGGATTTTGATGATATGTTTCTAAAAACAATTATTTTAAAAATATTTTTTTAATCAATATTATCCTTTTAAAATCATAAGTAAATGCTACAGATTTGATTTACTTATTTGGAAAGCTTGAACACAATATATTTGTGACAAATAGTAGTATTCAGATTTCAAAGCTAACTAAGATTAATTACATACATAAATGAAATTTTCTATACATTTACTATCTCTAGATTTAATTTAAATAAAAATTAATTTGAAGGTATAATCATTTAGAAAATGGCGTTTTCTCATCACATTTTTTTTTTTTAAATTATGGTAAAGAAAGTCATGAATATTTCAATCTTTGTGACCGTGACTAGGCATTTATTGGTTCAGTGATCAAATCAATTAATTGACTAATCTCTCTACCTTTTGATATGATCTCTTGCATTACGATTAATCGATTTTTAAAAGTAATTAAATTTTTAATCAATATACAGACATTTGGCCGCAAAAAAAATCAATATACAGACACTAATAGCGTTAATGAAAATAAAGCATAATTTTACACTACTGGCACGTTAATATATCAACGTGCGTCGATGACATTACTTCTCGACTTCATGCATGCTTCCTAGCAATAACATTAACTCCATTCAAAACCACTATCAAATTTGATTTATCCTTTTTTTTTTGGGGCAAATGTGTCTTTCATTTTGCATCTCCTTCTTTCTTTCTTCTCTTTGCCTTTGATCGAACTCATGAGGTGGAGGCGTGTAGAATTAGCCACCCAACCAAATGAGCTACACGATCAGGCATTTCATTTTGCATCTCCATGTCATTATTTTGAGACATATTTAACTGAGATTATTCTTATTTACTAAACTTGAAAACAGACTAAGACCATCTCCAATGTAAATCTCCATTTTTTACTCCAAAATAGAGTAACTTCAAAATGGAGTTGTGTTTTGCTCTAATGTATGACTCCATTTTTGACTCAAAAAAAGAATATTCCTAATAGATTCTATTTTTCTTTTACTTTTAATAATCTATAACTTTTAGAAGTTACAAAATAACCAATTTATTTTTATTTTATCTAAAATATTTATAATTTACGAATTTAATAAAATTTGTTGTGTTAAACTTTTATGTTTATCTTTGATTTTAGCACTTGTTGTGTATTTTTCAGTTTATTTTAAGTTGTAATATTTTGAAATAAAAATTTTAGTGTTCAAATATTTATGATTGTCTATTTTCTATTTTTTTAAACTATTAAAGTCCTATAATCTTGTCAAAAAATCTTATAAACATGAATCATAAAATAAAAACTTAATTATTAAACCGATAGTTATATATATATATACATACATAAAGACCATTTTTTAAATATATATATATATATATATATATATATATATATAAAAGTCAAAGTGATATGTGTCATACAAATATTAAGTGTATATCTGAAAAAAAATGCATATAACCATATATAATGTTGAAAATAATGTTGTGTTGATAAAAAGTATAAAATTATAATGATTTAATATTTTAAAAATCAGATTGTAAATAAAAAAAGTATAGCTGTAAAATGGAGTAAAATAAAGGTTTACTCTAAATATGGAGCAATCTCTATTTTTTCTCCATTTTGCAGTAAAAAATGGAGTAGAGTTTGAGTGAAATTTATTTCAAAATGGAGTTTGCAGCAAAAAATAGAGCAGGGTTGGAGATGTTCTAACGGACCAGAACTGCATAAGTTGGGCCTTCTCACCGAGGCTTTATATTTAACTTTTTAAGGTTCCAAAAGCTAGCATAAAATTTTGAAACACGCGCCTCAACTGAAAAATCGAAAGAAAGCTAAAAAATTTGAGCGCTAGTGGGAAGTAATATGATTGGTTGATTTACAAATGACGCGGATCACTAAACTTCAAACAATCTTGACCGTTGATAAGATGAAAGATCTAACGAACCAAAAACAAACGTTTCTCTTTTTCGTCTCTGTTTCTTCATCTGCGCTTCGTTATATAAAAACCAATCCAGTCTTTGAAAATGAGAATCCCATAAACAACGTGTAATCTCACAAGAAACACATAAATTCTCATTGCCAAAAATCAAATTGTCTCTTATTCGTTAGATTCATCAAATGGCTCGTACGAAGCAAACAGCAAGGAAATCCACCGGAGGAAAGGCACCAAGGAAGCAGCTCGCGACGAAGGCGGCGAGGAAATCGGCTCCGGCGACCGGAGGAGTGAAGAAGCCACACAGGTTCCGTCCCGGAACAGTGGCGCTTAGAGAGATCAGGAAGTACCAGAAGAGCACGGAGCTTCTGATCCGCAAGCTTCCGTTCCAGCGATTGGTGCGAGAGATCGCTCAGGATTTCAAGACAGATCTGCGTTTCCAGAGCAGCGCCGTCGCGGCTCTCCAGGAAGCGGCAGAAGCATATCTCGTAGGGTTGTTTGAAGACACTAACCTGTGTGCGATTCACGCTAAGAGAGTTACCATCATGCCAAAGGACATTCAGCTTGCCAGGAGGATCAGAGGCGAGAGAGCTTGAGGATTGAGGATAATGCACACTAACACTTAGGTCGGCCTTTTCGATTTGCTTCCGTTTTGTCTACGTACATCTTTCGTTTTTCTTTTTCTCCTGATTTCCGCGTTCGATTAGGTTTTGCTTTTATGGTGTTCGATGTATTGCCTCAACGAGTCAAATAAATCATATCCTATCTTAATTTTCTTCTCAGTTAATCGCTGAAATGTGATCTGGAAAACGCTTTCTTACTTACAATTTGATTATATTTTTAGAAGCAAAATGAGAGTTATTAATTAGTATTGTTCTTATCAAATTTACATGACATTTCCTTAGTTCCAGTTGCATCATAGAGAGAGTAAACATCTTTTCAGGAGACATTTGATTATGCTGGGCCGATCTTTTTGGAATATGCTTATCTTCTCATCCTTCTGTTACAAATTGTTTGTATATTTAGTATTGTAATCATGCGTCTATCTTGCTTCTAAGCTCGTTAATAAAAATTGGAGTACTGAAAATTTACGATTTAATTGACTGTTAATACTTTACTCGTAATGGTCAAATCTATGTGTACAGTTAAATCTTAAAAGATAGAAAATTATCATCGTATTATGAAACGACACCCAGAAATTTTGCAGATGGCGCCTAAACTTAAACCGTATGAAACTCCTAAAACCGATTTGCCGCTAAAACGAAATGTTTCGATTGGTGGATTTAAACATCACGAGGATCGTCAAAAACTTTGATTTAATATCCATTAGATATCAAACGTCAAAATCTAGCGGATCAAAATAACTCTCTCTCCAAGCAAAAATTTTAAACTCAAGTTTTCTTCTCTGACTTCCCATAAAATCAATTCAAGCCTTTTCAATAGTCCACACCAAAAGTTTTAATCGCGATTTCGAGCATTCTAAACTAAAATTCACACAAACATAACTGTTGGTACGAAGCAGACTGCCAGAAAATCTGCACCAGCGACCGCAACTGTTGCGTCCAGGAACTGTTGCGTTGAGAGAAATCTGAAAGTACCAAAAAAAAGCACCGAGCTTTTGATCGGGAAACGGATTTCAAAACGGAGAGGTTTCAGAGCAGTGCCGTCGCTGCTGAGGCTTACCTTGTTGGGTTATTCGAAGATACTAACCTCTGAGCGATTCAGTCAAAAAAGGGTTACTATTATGCCTAAAGATATTCAATTGGCGAGGAGGATCAGAGGTGAGAGAGCTTGAAGATAGAGCGATCATTTGTTGTTTTATGTTCTTGGATTTGATGGGGTTTTCTATCTGCGTTTATGCAAGTTTAGATCTTTGCAGTATTTAGACTTGGTCTGTAGGTGGATTAGTCTATGCTATGATGGCACATTAGTTTTGTTTTTGGAAATTCCTTAAATAATCTTTTCCTGTTCAATACAACGTGTTATTTCAAAGTCTGGTTAGGTATATATATATATATATTACCTTCGCATTCGACGGGATGTGTTATCTACTGTCTTCTTCTTTCTAGTTAAATCATTCTTACTTTCAAAAAATTGCAGTTGCAGTCGCTTGACAGGTTAAGGAAAATTACCATGCTTTAGTAATTGGGATATCTTGAAGAAAGAATCATATTTTTCTAGTCTCACTTTTTTAGGGTATGTTAATGAATAATGGAATGTGTTGTTTTTTAAATTTGAACAACGAAAAAAATAAATTTTATTTAGAGCTTCTTTGATACTACAGTATGTTTTTTAATTGTCGAGTGACATTGATGATAAACGGTCATAATTGTGGTCCCTTAATTCTACTGTTGTTTTGATTAGGCGTGCTTAATAGCGTTGCTTTGTGACGGCGTCGTTTTAGATGACAGAACAAACGAGAAATTACCGAAAAAGGATAAGAAAATCCAAAATAGGTTCTGGAGAGAAATGCGACAATGATATATTGTGTTGTCATTTCTTTTGTAAGAATCCAATTTTCTTAAGTAATGCTTTTTAGTGGAAAGCTACCAAAACATTTATAAAGTACAAAACGACAACGTATTCTCCAGCAGCCGTCGTTGTTGCAAAAGAAAAAAGGATGCAAATGCTCCGACGCGTAGATAAAATTATTGAAACAAAAGGCGTAACAATTAATAATAATAATAAAATATTCCAAAAGTTGTAAAGTTAAAATTTAAAAGAAAATAAACGTGTCAACTGTCAGGTGACTACATCTACCTGATCGACCCACGAGTAGGACTCGTTAATTCTTGGTTTAGGTGTGATTATGATTTTGATATTTTTTTTGGTTTTTATTTTCTTCTATGTATATAAATTACTTTCATAAAATCGAGCTGGTGTCTTTTTAGTTTTGATTTAGATTTTTATCAGTCCGATTTTTAATTTTTAGGTAGTGGTTAGATGACTAGTGTAACCTGTTAAGGTCCTCGATTCCAAAAAAGTTTAAAACTACCGTCTTTAGTTTTTGGTTTTAAAAATGACAAAAATAATCGTAATATACCAAATTAAATTTTAGCTCAACTTCTTAACCTTAGTGATCATATCAATTTGCATCTAATCAAACAACTCCAACGGTGTATGTTTTTTCATCTATCAAGTATTTCCGGAGCATTTGATATTCTTACGGATACAATAGAATAATATACAATAGAACCTCTATAAATTAATACTCGATAAATTAATAATCACTATAAATTAATAAATTTTGCTGGTTTTAAGTTGGGCCAATATAAAAATCCATCAAATTCGATAAGATAATAATAATAATTTTTTTTGAAACTCTTATGTAAATACATGGTCCCAACAAAAACATAAATTAATAATTATATAAATTTATGTAAATATATGTAAATTTAAAATTCTAAAATATAACTAATGTGTTTGTTTTTAGTTAAAGTTGAAATCTCATTTGTTCTTATCTTTCTAATTATTATATCAGTAGCTCTTATTGCTGTTTTACTATATACATTCAAAATTTATGATGATTTTTTGATGTGATAATTGATTTTCTTACATGTAAATATTTTTAAATGTATTGTAGTGTTATCTTCAATTTTATCATTAATGATACTGATAGTAGCCATAATTTTTTTATAAATTTTAAACTTATGAATATTTATATTTTTATATGGATAATCCAATATGGTAAAAACTATTTTATTGTGATAGTTATGATTTTTAATCATAATATATATTATGAGATTTGTTAAAATTTTAAAATATAACATTGTTTTAAATAAATTTTTAGAAAATTATATGCAGAAAGTAAGTTTTCTCTATTATTAATATATAAATTAATAAATTAATATTACGATAAATTAATAAAATATCATGGTCTCAATATTATTAATTTATAGAAGTTTTACTGTATACAAATATGGTTGTCCGTATACTGTCCAAATTTAGTGGGAGCCACAAAGAATATATTGGGCCAATAATGGGCCAAAAATGCGTAGCAAACTCAGCCCTATGATCAATCCTTGTCGATGCTCGAATAGACTGCTGTTTTGACTTTGTCGTCTATTTATAAGCTTCTGTTTGTCCATTTAGGGGTTGGCGTATTAAATTGAGTTAAATTAACCAAAAATAAACATCCAAAAACTGTAAGAAACCATATCATTGATTGAACCCAGGATGAATATTATATCAATTTTTATAAAAGTTTATATCGTTAACAGTCATCTAATTAGGAGGTTTTGGATAGGCTAAAACAAACGAATATGTATGTTAATACACAGCTAAGCATGCATATATTTATATATAGATGTATCTAATTATCCACGAATTAATTTCTCCAGAAAAAAATTATCCACGAGTTAATCAATGCCCTTTATATGAATCAATTTATCTTAAGAGAATATAACAAAAAACGGGACACAAAGATACATTATACATACGTATAAGAAAAGTTTGGATCCATATATGAGAAAATTACTACTTATCGCCTATTAAGTACTATTAGCAATATTATTGTTTAAGTATGCACGAGCATAATCACGAAATAGATAAAATTATATAGGTTAATAAGCGGTTAACCACAAAAGAAGATTAATAAGAATTCTTAATACTCAATAGATAAAGTGACGAATAATGATCCAATGATTGAAGTCATGTCTAATTTGGTTGTACGGAAGTTTCCTAAGTCACCGTATCATTCTTGTCTAGCCATTAAATGATTCAAATGAATAGTAAGTCAGTGTTAAAAAAAATGATTCAAATGCATCAATAGACTGCATCAATCATTAAAAAAAAAACTATAACATTAAAATCATTAATATTTATGTGACAACTAAAACATTGACACTCATAGATTCTATTATGTAAATTGATCATTGATATTCTTAAACCAACGTTTCTGAAACTTTTCATTAATTAACAATCACATTTTTGTTTATCGTTAAATTTTATTGAAGACATTTCAATGTATCCTTTACAGAGGCAGGACTTTTATAAAAAAAAAATTAAGAAAGAAACACATGTTAAGAGCTTAGTCGAAGTTAAACAATCACATTATTCAATCAAACTTATATAGTTATTTTTAAAATATTTACGTGTATCCATTTAAAGCTCAAATCTCAAGTACACACAGATTAAACAATATATATATGTATATATACAAGCAATTTTCATTATTATGTTTCCAAGTGGCACCGCGATAATTTTTCAAGTGAGAAATATGTATATACATACACATCTGAGCAGTGGTCCGGCGGAAAAGGAGGGAAAAAATATTTTATACTTTTGTAAAAGGTTTAATTTATTTTCTAAGCAATAACGCCATAACGGCAATAATTAAATTAACACTATTTCTTAGAAAATCTTTAATCTATATATGAATCAATTTAGATTATTTACGATTTGCATAAAAAACTTTAAGCAAAAGAAAAAAACAAATCTCATTTTCTTTTCACGACCAATTCTCTATATATACACCCATACCACTTAAACCCTAACACACATATGTACATAATATTCTCATCCTTCTCGCACAAACTTAAGAAAAAAAAAATGTCCTTCACCACAAACCCTCACCGCCACCGCCTTGCGGCAACCACCGCAACCGCAGCCGTAGACTGCCATAAACAAGTCCGTTCATGGCAGCTCCTTCGCACCATCGTCCAACTTCTCATCCCATCTTGCTACTGCACACTCGTAGATCCAAATGATTATCAAGAAGAAAAATCTCACCGTCAAATCAAACCAAGAACTTCCTCCGCCACCACAAACTCCTCTTCTTTCACCGGAACCATATTTGGTTTCCGCCGTGGCAAAGTAAACTTCTGCATCCAAGCAACAAACTCCAAAACCCTAAACCCAATAATTGTCCTTTTAGAGCTCACCGTCCCTACCGAGGTATTAGCCCGCGAAATGCGAGGAGGCGTGTTAAGAATCGCTCTCGAATCAAACAATCACGACGAATATGATTCTCTTCAAGATTCTTCTTCTCTTCTTACAACACCTTTATGGAACATGTATTGCAACGGTCGGAAAGTCGGTTTCGCCATCAAAAGAGAGCCTTCGAAAGCTGAGCTAGCCGCGCTGAAGGTGCTTACTCCGGTGGCGGAAGGAGCCGGAGTTGTGAACGGAGAAGAGATTAACCGAGAGAAGAGTGATCATATGATGTACTTAAGAGCGAGTTTTAAACGAGTTTTTGGATCGTTTGATTCGGAATCTTTTCATCTCATCGACCCACGTGGGATTATCGGACAAGAATTAAGTATCTTCTTCTTTAGGTCACGAAAATAATCTTGGGTCGTTTTGTTTCTAGCATGAGGGACGGGTACTATTTGTACATGTTGGGAACTTCGAGGTTCATCGGCGTTTTTTTTTTTTCCTGTTTTCGATTAAGCAAACTAAACCGATCAACGTGAACCTCGTAATGTTTTTTTAGCTGTGCTTAATTAGATGAAAATGTAATAAGCATAGCTTTCGATGTTCTCAACTTTTGTATGCAGTAGTGGTGACCATGTGTGTTCATGTGTTTCTTCTAGTGCATAGGCTTTTTAATTTAATCTTCTATCTTTACATTTGCTTTCTATTATTGTCAATAATTTGCGGGGGGAATAAAGTTGGCAGTTTTAGCTGGCCATCTTTAAAAAATAGAATGTGCATATACACAAGCAAACATGAGAATTGTTGTATAACTAACGAATAATGAATTTTTACTTATAATTACATTCTTGGATCATTAATTTGTTATAACCCGATCTACAGCCTAAATATATATATATATATTTACTTATAATTATATATATAGATAAATATATATAATTTTTACTTATAATTATATATATATATAGATATATAGATAAATCATTTTGATAACTGATACATAAAATAATACTGTTCTCAAAATGATAGACGTAATTCATTTGCAAAACACTATATGATATCTCGCTAATTTTTATGACTAGAACTTATACTTCTGGCCTACTAGATTTCAACGATAAGATATAAATCATATAATAAGACGAAAACGCAAATTATGGGTTAATGTGATCAACTTAACAATTAAACGGGATGGCCAAAACAATTTGCAATTTTTGAAATTAAATCAAACCTGACTATTGATAATTGTAACTATTTTTTTTTGTGAAAGTTTCAACAAAAATGATTTGATCTGCGATTCTTTGTTGTTGTCGATTTTACGTCCAAAACAGTTTACCAACACGAAGGTACGCACACCTATAAGGCTATAACTTGTTTATTAGTTTTCTATCGAGTAATAACTATCTTTTTATTTATTGTAGAGATTAACGTAACAAATTTAAAACTAATACTACTAGATTTCTTCTCTTAAATAAAGAAAAATTCGTACGTGGGTTGAGGTCAACGAGAGTCGAGACTTATCATGGGAGAATAATAAGAGTCCACGCGGCGAATCCATCACTACAAGAACACTAACACCTTTTTATTAAAATATTAATTTACATATACATAACCATATAACTTATCAATATTAAAAGATTATTCATTCGTGACTTTATACTTTTTTTGCTTCGAGAAAATGGCAAGCTCGTTGTCATAGCTGTTGTTGATTCCCTTTGTCTTTCCAATGTTTTCTTGTTTCTAGTCATTAGAACGATCTATAAATCACAGTTGAAATTAATTAATGTGAACATAGCACGAAAACTCATTATAATTTATAAATTGTGAAAATGAAATCAATGTGAACTTAATAAGTCGAAATCAGTGTGAACTGACTATTTGACGAATACATTCATACAAAAAGTTAGTTAATCATCGATTTAGACTACCATAGTATTGAAATACATGTTAAATATTTCATTTTTTAATTTTAATATTAAATTAAAAATATGTATCATGCAGAATTGCCGATTCCAATCTTAATTTTTATGTATCCACAATTACCTACATCTTTATCAAGACTTAGTTATCGAATTTTAAGCGGAACAAAAATGGAAGGTAATGCATAAAACCTGAAATGTAAAATAACTAGGGTAATAAACTAATAACATACATACATAGTTGATAATCATTATGATAGGTAATAAAAAAAGTTGGTAGCCGCCGGCAGAATAGATGGGTATATAAAACAGGCCTTCTTGCAAGTAAATGGGCTTCAGTCTCTCATATCAGCCGTTTTTTGACAGAAAAATCCTGAAAGCAACTCTGGACAGAAGCTAGTGCTACCGACCATATCACCATAATGCTTCTTCTGGAAATCAGAAACTAACTCATCTGGAACTCTTCTTGAGAGACAAGGATCTTGTACAACGTTGCTGTTGGAGACATCATTCATCATCATACACATGTTCTGATGATGAGACCCATAAAGCTCCTGCTGCTGCATCAACTCATGAGGTTCTTGTACTGAAAGTAAGGCTTGTGTTGTGTTAGAATGTTGAAAGTTTCCGTTTTTGATGTAATTTTGATCGAAACCATGAAGCTTCTGCTGCTGCATCATCAAGTGGTTTTGGTAATTGATGAGCTGATTGGCACTAGATGCAGAGAGTGGGAGCTGCGAGAGAGTAGCATCTCCGTGGTTATACATATACAAAGAGAACTGGTTAGGATTCAAGGGTTGTCTCTGATATTGATGATGATGATGATACTGGTTCAGAGACGAAGATGGTGTCCAAGTCTGATAGACCAAATTTGTGTTCCTCTGTTTCTGCGCTTCCACAAAACGAAGCCTTTCTTGCAGTTTAGAGAGAGTCTGTTCTAAGGACAGAATCAATCGAGAGAGTTGGTTTGGAGAGTAGTGATCAAAGATTGGATACCAATCAGGATACTTGGATCCATTGACGCTCTCCGAGTCTCTCTTCGTCTTCTTCTTCTTCGAGTTCTTCTCATCGTTCTCCTTCTTCCCCTCCATGAACTCTTGAAGATTGAGGCTCTTCTTGCGTTTTGTGACCGCCTTATACCTAAAAGCCATGGCTTTCACTTTCTCTTTCTCCTTCGGCCATGTCTTCAATTCGCCGTTTGGTCCGTAGTAGATGACGCAAACCTCGATTTGACAGAGAATTGAAAGCTCGTAAGCTTTTTTGAAGATGGTCTTAAGTCTGTTGGCAAAACTGCTTGCAGCGAGTGACTTAGAAGAAGAAGAAGCTCGCATGGTGAGTCTTTCTTGGTTCGCCAAAGAAACTAGGGTTTTTTCTCTCTTGAGACAACACGAAGAAGAAGAATTATGAAATTGAGAGAGAAATATTGTGAACTAAATATGTCATATATATAGATTCTTGGTCCATACGGTAATATA